GGGAACCCATTCCAGTATTCCACCCAACATCATGCATGGGGTAGCAAAATGTAATATCAGTGTATCTCCCAGGAACTCTGGTGAGAGACTGCTCTTGTATTCCAAGACTCTGCCATACGACCTGCATTAGTTACAAACTATTAATAGTTTGGAAATATAGCAAGCACTGCATAGACATCCCTGAAGAGTTGGCCAGATCAATAAAGCTTGCAGCCTCTTAAACCTCAGTATTTTGCTTTTAGGAGGTCCTGGAATGGGAACTAAACATTCCCTTGTGATTTTTTTAGCCTGTCCAGAGGAGTTCCTCTGTTCTGTCAATGGACTGTGTGTCCCAGCCTGTGATGGGATCAAAGACTGCCCCAATGGACTGGATGAGAGAAACTGTGGTGAGTGAGCCATTATTTCTATTCCCAGTTTCTCCTCAGTAGTTTGCAGCCCAGTTCAACTCCCTCCTACACAAAGGAGTTGGTCTCTGTGGTCCAAATCCAGTTCTCTCTGTCTCTGGGGGAGTCAGGAGAACCCCACAGACACTTCGCTGCACCAATCAGGCTGGTGAAAGTAACAAAGGCATTTACCTGATTACACACAGCTCCTCAGTCTACCAGAATCACACTGCATCAGTCTGTTAGCAAGTGAGAAGCCGGCTCAACGTACACCCAGCTTCTCCATGTACTCTCCAGGCCCTGTATCCCTGAGAGACGGAAGGCCCCAAAAAACAGTGCAGCAGCAAAACAGCCTCCATACACCACGATCTACAAGTTCCTCAAATGAATCCCTGACCAAGCTGCAGCAGTCCTCTCCCCTCCCCCACCCACGGCTAGTACAGTACATACCTGACACCACCTATCTCTCCCATTACTGCTCTGCCAGCGAGCCTCAATCTTGGCCTATGGCCCCACACTGATCTGCGTGTCTCATACTGCTCTGCCAGGAAACCAAAGGCCAGGCCTGCCAACCCACCTGTTAGTTCACTCTTGGTCACCCTTAATACACGTAGCCTTGCACGTAGAGCTCTGCATCGGAGTGCACTATTCGCTGCTGGGTGGTGTCTCCTGCTGGCCATTCTGGGTATTAGCTCTGTCAGGCCAACACCTCTTCCTGCAGTTGCACTCTGGTTTTTGTTCTCTCTCTTCCTCTGTGGCCCTTCTCTCAATCCAGGAGCTTTGGCTTCCTCTTCATGACTTGGCCTTCCAGCCATTTCACTAAGGTCCTCCTCTACCAGGGTAATCTTTCAAAGCACGGAACCAAGCAGCATCAGGCAGCCCTCATGCTGCTGTCCTGAGTCACCCCTGCTGTGACTCCGGCAATCTTCATAACCACTGCCTGTAGCAGCACCACTCAAGAATGCATAGTAGGAACAGCCTGGCCTGCCTTCCACTCTGCATTCCAACCAGGGCTCCCTAGGGAACAGTTAAGGTCTGCATCTCCTCCACTTGCTTTCATTCCTGGACTCCTGCCTACTCCCCTTTCTCTTTATCTCAGGAAGAAGGGCTGCAGGCTTCCTGCTTTGCTGTCCACCTCCCTTACCGTCATTATCGGCCTCCTGGTTTTATAGAAGCCCTGCCTGTTCCTTCACAGGGGAGCTTTTTTTTAATTAGCTCCCTCCACCTAGCCTGAAGCTCCACTGTTTGCAGCTTAATTGGCCGATTGGGCCCACTTGGTTTAGTGCAGCTCTTGCAGGGCCTGTGCGGGGAATGCACCCTCTCCCAAACTCTTTGTATTTTCATATCACTTGCAAATATCATCTAATTAACTGTATGTATTCTTAGTATTACTATAGATGGAGAGAACAAAGAACAAGAGGTTAGGTCAGTGTTTCCCAACCAGGGTTCCACGGAACCCTGGGGTTCCACAGACCATTGTCAGGGGTTCCGTGAGAAATCGTGGAATAAATAAATAAATACATACATTTTTTCTTACAGTGTAAGCTGACATATATATATAACAGCGCTTTACAAATACATTTTCTTGACAATAATTTAGCAGTAATTGAATTGCACTCCCCGCTGTCAACTTTTTCGGGCCAAGCAAACATTTTTATAGGTGGGGATTCCTCGGGATATGAAAAATTATTTTAGGGGTTCCTCCATGGGAAAAAGGTTGGGAATGACTGGGTTAGATACACGGTACAAGGACACCCAGCAAGTCAGTGTCAGAATTTAGCTCTTAGTCCCATTCTCAGGGCATCAGACCAGATAGCCTCTATGCAACACTGCTCATGCCTGTTAGTCCTGACACACAACACTTCTTCCCTGCAGTTTCAGGCCTTCTGGCTGGGAATGTAGGCTCTGGGGCTGGCGATGAGCAGTTCAAAATGTGGGGTGCAGCAGGAAGGCTGATCTGGGGCTGCGGCCTGAAAGGACTCCCCTCCCCCCACCAGTCCTTCCTCCTCTCTTCCTCCCCCCTCTCTATTCCTACCTCCTTACCATTCCACGGGGAGTAACAGTTAATCAGAACTAAGGACTTAGTTTGGATTAATTTTAAACTGCTGCATGTAGCCGCGGGCAGTTCGTTTGAACTAAGGGGGATTTTAAAATGGCAGCCGGATGGGAACATGCAAATAAAGCCCAGGATATTTAAATCCCGGGCTTCATTTGCAACTCCAGTTGCCTGATTTGCCTACCTAGCTCGAATTAACGAGCTAGTGTAGACATACCCTTAGAGCCAGGCCGGGCAGTGCATGCAGCATGGAGCTATAAGGGGCAGTTGCTTGCTGTCCAGAGAGCAGGTCAGAGGAGGCAAGTGGAAGGTGCACAAGGATGGAAGGTGGGGCTGGAGAAGAGACTTGGTGCTGATATCTGTGGAGCTGGGCTCCTAGAGCCCCAACAGTGGTGGAGCCCAGATACCATGGGCCATACAAGTCGCCGCCCCTGCCGGTCCATGGATGAAGTTTCTTTTTAAATCCATTGCTCATTGCTTGATCTGAAGCAGGAGGGTTTATATCATTTGTTGTCTCCCCACACATGTCTCGTGTAGCTGTGATGGTCTCATTCGCTATATAAATGTCTAATCCTGTTTTCAAACCCTGTTAAAATGAATTCACACTAGACCGGGTACAGAGAAGGACTATGAGGATGGAGAACCTACTTTATGGGAGAAGACTTGGCTAGTTCAGCCTAGCCAAATGAAGGCTGAGGGGAGATATGATTGAGGAATACATCAGAGGAATACACATCAGGGAGGGAGAGGAGTTATTTACATGAGAGGCCAATATTGGCAACCACAGCAGATGGATATAAACTGATCCTCAGCAAGTTGAGGGTTGAAATCAGACAGCCATTCAAGGGGAGTAGCGGGAGGGAAACTGTCACATGGTTTAAGACTGAGCTTGATAAGTGTATGAAGATGGTGTGAAACTGCCTACAGTGGCATATAGCTCAGTCTTGACTGATATTAGCAAATATCTCCAAGGCCAGAGTGATGGCACACTAGATGGGGAGGGCTCTGCATTACAGTAGAGAATTCTCTCCCAGGTGTCTTCCTGGTAGGCCTCAGCCACATGCCCAAGATCTAACTGATCACCATATCTGGGGTCAGGAAGGAATCCCCGCCCCCCCAGATCAGATTATCAGAACTCCTGGGAGAGAGGTCACCTTCCTCTGCTGCATGGGTCACATGCAGGTTTGAACTAATAAATAGTGGATTCGCTGTAACTTGAAATCTTTAAATCTGAATTTGAAGATTCCAGTAACTTAGCCAAAGAATATGAGTTTATTACAGGAGTGGGTGGGTGAAATTCTGTGGCCTGGGACATGCAGGAAGTCAGACTAGATGACCGTGATGGCTCCTTTTATCTTGAAAATTCTGAGTTCTTGACTTCAGCTGTATCTTGTGACTGAGTTCCGCAGGCTAATTAGGAGCTAGATATAAAAAGATATCCTTTCCTTTTTCAGTTTCAAATGTGCTACATTTCAATTTCACTCAATGTCTCCATGTCTTTGCATTATTAAAAGGGGAAAACAAAGCCAACCTGATTTACCTGCTATGAGGGCAGAGGACTGAACTGGATGGCCGCGTGAGGTTTCTTCCAGTTCTAGTGTGCTATGATTCTACCTTCTCTAGCACATTCATTACCCTGTGTGCTTGTCAAATTTCCTCCTTTTCATCTCATCTCTGAACCAAAACAACCCTTGTCTATTGCCCTAGATTTTTCCAGGCCTCTAATCACCTGAACTCCTTGGGTTAGTGATTCCACAAATAAATATATTGAGGCAGTGCCTAGAGGCCCCAGGCCCACTGTGTTGTATTGTGTTTGGACACACACCCGCATAGCAATAAGACAATCCCTGCTTCCAAAGGACTTAATTGAATGATAAGACAAAAGACAACAGGTAAATGCAACAAACAGCAAAGAGTATGAGACAGCAGTGAACCAACCTAATATCTGTAACATGCTATGGCCTGTGTACACCACTCCAACCTCTAAGCTGTTGTGGAGTATTTTGCAGGCATCAGAGGTAGGTTTGAAGGAAGGATTTGATGGTGTAATGGCTTTGTGGATGCATATTGGCTTTGTGGTTTTCTAATTTTGTTGTAGACGGGCTAACCAGAACCAGGCCCAGTATTTCAGGTGAAGGCACACCCTTGATTTATAGAATAGCATTCAAGTACTTTCAGTATTATTCTTATTCCTATTCCTGATACTTCCAAACACTTTGCTTGACTTTGGCAGGCATGTCCATAACACACACTAAGCCCAGGCTAGAACTCATGTTTGAGCCCATCCACACACACATCAGTCTGACTTGGGTCAGCAAACACTCAGAACCCACTTTTTAGGACCATACGGGAAGTGTGGGAGGGGGGCAGTCAGCATTAGAGTCCAGCTGCAAATCAAATCCAGGCCCAGTCATTTTGCAGTGCAGATGCAGCTTGAGCCATAGACCTGATTCAGAATATCTATGTCACTCTGTAGTGCAGTGTGGACATATTAGCACAGCTATGAGACCTGCGTCCAGCAATTGTTAGCCCAGCTTCATAATACAGTGTGGACTCTCAAGCAGAGTGACCACACCAACTCCTCAAGCCTATGGGCACAGCCCTGTGTTACAGTGCAGCATCGACATACCCTTTGAGCCTGGCCTGACATTGAATGGAAGCTTTCAATGAGCTATCTAGGATGACATCCAAGACTATTTCCTGCATGGTTAGTTAATTTAAAACAGGCTAAGTTTATTCTTCCTAGATGCATTACTGAGCATTTGTTAACAATTTGTTTAATCTGCTATCGAGTTGCCCTCTGAAATTTGCTGCAGTTGCCTCTACTTTTGACTAACCAAATCATTTTGCAGCAGCTGCAAATATTGCCACCTCAATGCTCTCTCTCAGTTATTAATGGCTATATTAAATGCCAGTCCTAGCATGAACTTTGGGCATGCCACTGTCTTTGGCAGAGCTTGATGACGTCTATCCTAGGGATACCTACTTCAGCCAGCTTGGAACTGTTGGCAATTATCTTGGAGAATGTATGGAGGATGGGGGAGGTCCCAGAGGACCAGAGAAGAGCAAACAGTATTTATCTTTAAAAGGGAGAACAGAGGACCCCAGGAGTTATAGACCAATCAACCTAACCTCAATACCTAGAAAGATACGGGAACGCATTATTAAACAATCCGTCTGTTAGCACCTAGAGGATAATAAGATTATAAGGATTTGTCAAGAACAAATCATGCCGAACCAAATTAGTTTCCTTCTTTGACAGAGTTACTGACCTTGTGGGTAAGCTGTGGACATGGTAGATTTTGATTTTAGAAAGGTTTTTGACACAGTCCCACAAGACAGTCTCATCTAGGGAAATATGAATTGACTATAAGGTAGTTGCACAAGACCTTACAGTTGCACGTTACTCCTGTGAAAAGGCCACCAGGTCCCTGCGACTGTTAGGCATGCAGGGGGCCAAGGAGGCATGGCATACTGCTTCTGCCCCATACATTGCTTCTGCAGGTCCTATTAGCTGGAGGCCACCAGGTCCCTGCGACTGTAAGGCATGCAGGGGGCCAAGGAGGCACGGCATACTGCTTCTGCCCCAAACATTGCTTCTGCAGGTCCTATTAGCTGGGAACTGCAACCACTGGTAGTTGTGGGGGCAGTGCCTGTAGGCAGAGGCAGCATGCAGAGCTTTCCTGACTCCCTGCCCAGGAACCTGCCAGCTGTTTCCTTAGGTAAGTGCTTCCCTGACCCCTCACCTTCCATGCCCCAAACCTGTTCCAACCCAAGTCCCTTCCCACACCCCAAGGCCCTCGAAAACAGCACAGAGCCTCTCATGCACCCCAAACTCCTCACCCCTAGCCCCATCTTACAGCCTGCACCCCCAGCTAGAGCCCTCGCCCCTGCAGCCCAACCCCTGCCGCAGCCCTGAGTCCCCTCCCACACCCCAAACTCTTCATCCTCAGCCCCACCCCAGAGCCCACATCCCCAGATGGAGCCCTTCCTTCCCCCCCAAACCAACCTCCTACCCCATCCTGGTGAAAGTGAAGGATGGAAGGAGTGAGGGCGAGGGGCCTCATGGAAGGGGTAGAGCAAGGGTGAGGCTTGGGGGAAGGAATAGGGCAAAGTTCAATATTCTGCCATTAGAAAGAGAGCAATCCTAACCGTGGCAGGGAAGTGTATTGCCACTGCAGTGTAGACATACACAATTTCCTGTCTTCTCTAACCAAATTCCACAACCTACCTGGGCACTCAATCATGGATTTAAAACTAGCCATTCTTCCACAAAGGAATTTTGCCATCCAACTACAGAGAGAGAGTGATGAACTGGAATTCATTTACAAATTTGACACTGGCCACTTGGGCTTGAATAAAGACATTAATTGGTTAACGCACTACAAAGCCAATTTCCTCTGCCTTTAACATTTGCATTTTCACGTCAAATTTATGAACGGGACACATCCAGCATACTTAATTATCCTCATTAACACAGGTCCTACAATTGACAGGTAACTGCTTTTGCTGTTAAATATACTTTGGATTCTGTTATTTCCACTCCAATTCATCTGATGATGTGGGTGTTACCCATGAAAGCTCAGGATCCTATTTGCTAGTCTCTAAGGCTACGTCTACACTATCAGATTATTTTGAAATAAGTTATTTCAAAATAATAATTCCTGAAATATCTATTTTGAAATAAGCTTATTTCTCTTTGCAAGCAGGAGTTGTTATTTCAAAATAACAAACCCCTTACAGTATTTTGAAATAAGAGGATTGGTAACGTGGACACTTGCCTTATTATTTCCAAATAACTTGCCAGTGTGGACATGCCCTAAGGTACCACAGGGCTACTTGCTGTTTTTAAAGTTATAGACTAGCATGGCTACCTCTCTGAGACCAGACACCACTTGCTCTTTCCAATTGAGGCCCCCTTGTGGCTAGTGGTGCATACT